TTTCCCTATTCCTTGTGCTCAAATTAATCTTTCATTATTTAGCCATTTCTTTAATGATGTAATCTCACAAACATATCAGAATCCAACACATTATTTTAGTGTGTTCGATTAAGTCTAAATATTTATTGAAAATTTTTAAATCGATTTATTTGATATTTTCTTCATACAGTTACCTCTTATGATGCATAATACTTATGTACATACATACATACATCCATACATATATATTAACTATCAACAACCTCAATTAAGTTATCAAATAAGTAATTAAACAACATTAAATTTGCATTCTAGCAAGTTCATAGCAAGCTTGTTGTTAAAATTCAGATCGTTGAATCCTGATTTGTATGGTGCGAGAAAGAGAGACAAAAAAAGAGAGAATGAACAATGATTTGTTGATAGTAATGGTGTTCTGTTCATAAAATGATTCTCCAATTTATAGAGAGGGTAAATGCTGATAATATTACATTTTTGCACCTTCTTTAAAGGGGTAAATATTAGGGTATTTTGGTATTTTACATGTGTTAATCTGTCGTTCGATTACTTGCTGACTTGGCAGACTGATCTTAGTCGGTATCGGGTCGGTAGGATTGGCTCAATTGGCTGAGCTTTGTCTGTATGGATATGGTATATCTGCCAACCCTTAGTCTTTGATGAGAAAATTTTGGGATGTCTCTTTTATGGTAGAAGATGCTATGAAACTAGATTTGCGTTCGATTGGTTTTCCTGTAACGGTTGGTTCGGATGTTCTTTTGCCTCGCATCTAGCCAATTGGTTCAGAGTTGGGTCATCCTATCATCTTTTCGTTCATCTCGTGGCTCAGTCAGTTTTAGCCTTGCTAGCTTGGCTTTGATAGCTTCACTCAGTCGGGCAAGTAGACATTACAATCTGATTGTATCCCACATTTGTCATACTCTTCCCTTCTGGATTGTTAGATCTCCTCAAGATTAGTGCTGACACATTTTTGTCATACACAAATAAATATTCTCTCAAACATGAAAGAATAAGTGATTCAATGTTTGATGTTATTCATTTTTATGACTAGTTTTTAAAATTTTATTCAAATTATTTCAATAATGTAATTAAACAATGATAAATAAACCTTCTAAAAGCGAGAATCCAGTATCTTCAAGCGCATATGTTCTCTAACAACGCTACTCATTTTACAACCATTTCAACAAAAAAATCAATAAATAAATAAGCAACAACCAAATAAAAAAAGAAGAAGCATTTCTCATCCACCAAACGCTCATCCACAAAGATAACCCCCATCATAACGAATCCCTCTTCCTCATCCTCTTCAAACTTCTACTCTACTTCACTTCAAATAATTCAAAGCAGAAACAAGAAGAGGTCGCCAAAAAATAAAAAATGGCCATGAAGCTGTGGGCTTCTTCTACAGCCAATGCGCTTAAAATCTCCTGCTCCAAGAAGGCCGGAGCCACCCCTTCTCTCACCTTCTTCTCCAGATGTTTCTCTTCTGGTAATCTGAACCATTCAAAAACCCAACTTTACTCAATTTAAAGCTTTTAAATAATGAAAATCTTCAATTCTGCAGTTTTGGATGGTTTGAAGTACAGCAATTCTCATGAATGGATTAAACAAGAAGGCTCAGTTGCCACTATTGGCATCACTGACCATGCTCAGGTTTATAGATAAATTCCATTACTATGTGCTTTATGAACTAATCAAGGTGAAAATCTTTATACAATGGCTTGCAGGACCATTTGGGAGAAGTTGTGTTCGTCGAGCTGCCGGAATCCGGCAGCGAGGTAACGAAAGGAGGCAGCTTTGGAGCAGTGGAGAGTGTCAAAGCAACCAGCGATGTGAACTCTCCCATTTCAGGCCAAGTGGTGGAGGTCAACACTAAGCTCACATCAACTCCTGGCCTGGTAAAATTATTCATCTAGATTGGCTCAAGCAACAGGGTAAGTTATCTTCTGATGAAAAAGGAGATTTTTTTATTGGTCTTGCAGATCAACACCAGCCCTTATGGAGATGGATGGATGATTAAGGTCCGGCCAAGCAGCCCTTCAGAGCTGGAAGCGATGATGGGTCCGGGAGAATACAGCAAGTTTTGCGAGGAAGAAGATGCTCACCATTAACGCAATAAGGAAATTCTGTATTTTTGCGTTTGTTGTTCTTTCAAAGTAGTTTCTTTTTTGAGTGTTTACAAGTCTAAGCAAACTTATTCTGGGGATTTGTTCCTTGTTATTTCATATGTAGATTGATTGATGTTTACTGCAATTCTTGTTTAAAAATTGTCTGGTAAGATTTATCCGTTTTAGGAGCATATCTGTTCTGCATATTCTTAGCCAAGTTACTGAATTCCTCAAGGATCTGTTTTGTTTGTAACTCAGAAATGGTAAAAATTTTATTGTTTTCTTTACCACTTATTTGTTTGGTTGAGGTGAAATTTTTTATGAAAAAAGCTTTCTTCTCGGTTGATAATTCAGTTTTTATTTTTTGTCAATCAACCATCTAAATGGATAAACAAAATAATATACATATATTCTCATAAAAAATGGGTGAAAACTATTAATGAAAAAAATAACTTTATTAATAAAAATATTATTATTACAATTTTCTTAATCAATAAAATAATTTAAAATTTTTTACTCATTCAATTCAACCCAAACTCTAAATAAAAAACTCACTAAAAGTTTGATCTCACATATTTTGAGTAACTTCTCCATTGTAGATTAAGAAGCAATAAACTTATTTCTAAATATTAAATCCAAACTAGAACTAGCAATTGATACGTTATCAACAAAGTTTCACCTCGAGACATTTTTAGATTTAAAAATGTTCTAATTTATATTAAACATCATCTAGAGCTCTGATTTTCACAAACTTATAGTCAAACTGATCGGTTTGATGAGACGAACCCAATGACACTAAAATTGATCTAATCTGAGTCAAACCAAGCCTAAATCAAGCGCTTAAGCCACTTTTGGAAGCTTTAGGTTGTTAATTGAAGCGTCAAATATGTTTCAAATCTGACAAATTTATAGTCAAATTGAGTGTCTCAATGAGAGAAATCGAACGAGCCCATAATCACTCAATTCTGACATGATTAAGGCACATAATTGTCCATAAAATGTTGTACAATCGAAGGAATCACTTTGGGTCGTCTGATATAGTGGTTCAGATTCATGTCTTATTTATAGGGGATACCACTCTCAAAATTTATAAAATGAGCCCTACTTTCTCATGAAGGGGGAACCTGGATTTGAAGGAGAGGAGAACGAGCAAATTTCTAGAGTTGTTATGGATTGAAGACCCGGTGATCATTTCCTACCACCACAGATGTCGATCATCATTGACCATTGCCCACCAACCACTGTCGACCACTGTCAGTTGTTCCCTGCTCCTAGCCATTGGTGGACCTTGCAGGTAATGTCGTACATTGAAATGAAGAACCTTGAAGATTGACAACAAATATTGTAGAGTAATAAAGCACCATGTTGAGCAACAGTCAACATTACAGAGTAATTAAGCATCCCACTGAGTTACACAGTCTTTAAATATTGTGCAAAGATGTACTTCAAACTCAATATGCCAAAGGTTCGATGACAACTCTCTACAATAACTGCTTACATCCTCCAAACTTAGAATATGGTGACCCTATCTGGACTTCTTAAGTTCTATCCTTATGTCGTATATCGAAAAATGATGTCTCTATTACAACTACCTACTGATATAACACCAACTATGACCTTTGGTGGCCAACAAAATTTATTACAGCTCACCACTATGTCCTTTGTGGCTTCTTACAAACTACATGGTTAACGACTTATGCGGCTCCTAATTGTGGCCTATGTGATAAATTATGCTTTATTTGGTTCACAACTAATGTAGCTCTCATCTCTAGCCTTTATAATTTGCGAACAATATTGCAGCTCACCATTACGATCTATGTGACCAACTAAGACCTGCATGGCTCACAACACATGTAGATTCTAAATCTGACCTTTATGGCCTACGATCGTTAGTGCAACTCATCACTATAGCCTATGTGACTAACTACGACTTGCATGGTTCATAGCTCACACAAATCCTAATGTTGACCTCTATGGCCTACATACATTATTGTACCTCATCATTGTGACATATGTGACCAACTACGGCATACGTGGCTCACAGCTTATGCAGATTCTAACTCTGACCTCTATGGCATACATGTATTATCGCAGCTAACCATTATTGCATATATGACCAGCTACAACCTAAGTAGCTCATAGCTCATGTAACTCCCAACTCTGGTTTCTGTGGCTTATAGATGTTATTGTATCTCACCACTATAACCTATGTGACCAACTATGACCTACATGGCTCACAGCTCATATAGCTCCCAACTACAGTCTATGTGACTTACTACTCATGTAGCTTCCAAATATGGCCTCGGTAGCCAATTGATACTACTACAGCTTTCAACTATAGTGTTTGTATCCAACTGATGATATTGCAGCTTCCCACCTAAATGACCAACTACAACTTATTTGGCTCGCTACTCATGTTCTTTCCAACTACAGCCTCGGTGGCAAACTAATGTTAATATAGCTCTCCCATTATGGCCTATGCGACCAACAATGTTCTAAATGGCCCACAGCTCATGCAGCTTCCAACTATGGCCTTAGTGACTAACTAATGCCACCACAGCTTTCAACTATGATTGTTATGACCCACTAATGTTATTTCAACCACTGTGTATAACATTTATGGTGGATTATTGCCTTCATAATAATCAACTACAGTCTTTGAAGCTTGATTGCGACTATTATCACTGAATTATTATTTTACATGATCTTTATAATTCTATCGTTCCTAATTCAGGAGAAGAGTAGGCCTATGTACCTATAATCACATAGTTGAAAACCTTAATTGAGCTAGACCTTGTGGTTTTCCCCCTTTTCAGGGTTTTCACCTAAAACATCATGGTGGCTCATCAACTATTTTTCTATTAATTGTGTGTGTGTGTGTTGAGTTGAATTCATACATGTCGAGACACATTAATTTATCACTCTACCACCACAGATCTTCCAGCACACAACCATTTGACATCATTTATAAGAAACAAAGTTTTGTTCGACACATTATTCAAATATAGGAGACATAAAGCCGCTGCTTTATTTTCTATTGATACACATCACTTCGATGTCAACATATTTTTGAAGACTCCACTCACCCTTTTGGGATTCATCAAAAGTAGTGAAAGTCACTAAAAGTTAATTTTCAATTCATTCTACTATGAGGAGCAAAACCTTCACCGTAGTCTTCAAAGACTCCACATTTGTGGTGGCATATTCTTCCCACATCTTATTCAGAAATCAAATTTATAGGAAGCATTTCCAATATGGGGAACCTTCGTTGCAGTCTCAAAAGATATTTCAAGCTAACATTCTATGAATGATAATTGTTGGGTGGCCATCCCACATCCCACTCATATATCAAGTCTATAAGAAGAAATTCTAGGTTGAGGGACAATATTCATCATAACTATTATCAATCACTGACTCGAGAGTTCCAGCAACCCCTTTTACAAGAGTTCTTCCTCAATCAATAAAAAAATTTATCTCCTCATATGAGATATATGGGCTTCTTTGCGCACTCATGTGAATAGCACCCTCATTAAGGGACGACATATTCAAAAGCAACAATAAAGAAGTTATCACCTATCTTTCTTGAATATGGTCACAATCATATTTCAAAAAAAAAAATAAGTCCATCTAGACCTACACTCCAGACTCAAAAATACTAAGTAGTTTTGCCACATTATTTTGGGCTTAATTGAGCTCAAAGGGACTAGATAACAAGTTACACTCATTAAGTATAAACTTTAGCTAACAGCTTTAGATATGTTAGCAATTATTGGTGGATCTTATTTGACTATGTCCATTATAAGTTAGTGATGTCGAGCATCCCTGGTTAAAAAACCTAGGATAGCTTATACATCTTTTGTGGATTACAATAGACTTTATCCATTACATTTTATTGTAGTTAACTGGATGCTTTAACTAAACTGCTTACGAAAGATAAAAAATTCCTAATGACAGATAAATTCTCTATTCATATCCTTGGAAGGTATTCCTGTGAGAAAGCGCAAATGGGAAGCTAGTAGTGGATATAGTCCTCATTAAAAATAACTCATGAGAGCAAATGATAGATAATGTCTCCATTCATACCCCTATAATGCACGCTCAAAGAAAAGGCTTGTTAGAAAGCTGGTAGTGGACATGATCCTCACCAGAAGAACTCTATGATAGAAAGTGACTGCAGGGTCTCCACTAAAAAACTTCAAAAGAATATAAGCCTCAAAAGGTACATTTTAACTTTAAAATCTTAGAAAGCACAAGCCTCAAAAGATAAATAATTTTTCTTTATATAAATTATAATGTGATCACTTTGATTACAAATTCTCTCACATATTCTAGAAGCCAAATATTTACATATGAATCTTAGAGGGCATAAGCTTAAAAAGATTTCTATGCTACAATGCTCCAATTTATAATAGGGAGAAGAACCTACCCAGAAGTTGGGTTATGGAAACCTATCAGTCAGGAAAAGTATCTAAAACATTTGTGGCAACATCCCATGCCTAGCGAAAAGGTGGGTAAATGCCAGCCTAGAAAATAGGGTACCAGTAGCTTAAGAGATGTAGCAACATCCCCCCAAAATAAAGGGTAACAAAGATATATAAATTGGGAAACAATAACACAAAGGTAGAGCAATCACAGCTCATAAGCAGATGTAATAGCTGCTTTAAAAGCAATGTCAACAATTTTTGTTATAGGCCCAGAATTATATGAGCTTTGATGTGTCCTAAAGCATGCTTAATTTTTTTTGTCTTTATACTTGTTTTTAGATGAAATTTCACTTTTAAAAGGGTATGCTTGTGTTTTTCTTATGGGTATAAAAGGTAGACACATGGAGGGAAGCAGAGTTGAAAAGAAGCAAAAAGGAGTTGAATGGAGCTTATTGGAACCAGCAAGCCTAGAGCCTAGGTGCCAGACTCTAGGCTCCAAGGTAGTTCATCCAAATGTCTTGGTGCTATTTTATTAGCACTCAGGTGCCAAAATCAGTGCAACAACCCAAGAGGCTGGCGATTGGGCGCCATGACACAGTCGTATTTTTACAGTTGCTCGACCACAACTTGGGGAGTTATGTAGTTATTTTAAGTTGTTTGAGAGGAGATTTTGAAAAAGGCTGAAGCATTCTGTAGTAAGGGAAGAAGT